GAGATAATGTGCATGGTGCTAATACTATAAGGGGGAAGGGAAGGGAAGTAAATGTCGATGGTAATGATGGTGTTAGAGGGGTGGGTTGGAGTATGAAAATTTAGACTTGTATTAAAAAATGTCCTAAAGGGGTGAGTCCATCTAGCCAGTGGGTTTTCTAAGATTGGTGTGGCTAACCCTGCAAGTCAGAAGAAAAAAAAAACTATTAGGCATAGGAACCCTCCATATACTACGACCTGTTTATATTTAGTTCAATATTGAAAGTCTAAACTGAAGAAGAACCCAAGATTTTCTACTCTTACCACTAGACATTTTAGGCCTTGCATTGTGACATCAAATAGTTTTTGATTCTTTAAAGAATTGAGGATCTTTGTTGATGAAAATTTGAGTGAAAGCATTAGAGTTAACATGAGGGAACAACCCTCTTTTAGGTGAAAGTCTAGTTTCATGCATACAACATTTTTGCTTTTAAGTTGATAAACACTTTTTCTCTTTTTTTTCCTAATAATCTAAAATGAAAAAAAAAGTTTATGAATTCTCTGTTTTTTCATTGACTCATTGCTTCTTTGAGGAAAGTGTTTTTGTTTTTGTACCTATAAAGAAAAAAATACAAAGAAAAAATGTTAAGGAAAATATGGTTTATGAGAATAGTAATGGACAACCCTATAAAGGCATGATGAGAAATATATTCATTCCATTCCTGCCTCCCTTCCCCCATGTCTCTTTCTTCTTTTGATATTGACAACAATTATCAGTCTATCACGACAAGAAGTAACTTTGTCAGATTTGTATGGAGCTTGAATGACTAAATAGAGCAAACCAAAACTTATAACTTATCACCCACTATACTCAATCACCTAAGCTCTCTCTTTTGGTTTTTCATATTTCAATAACATAACTCATGAAAATACACGTTCATTCTTTACCAAATTAAGTATTTAATGGTTGAGAATTGTGTTTTCAAGTATTTACTATTTTGCTATTTAATTTTTTTATTATTCAATTTATGAATTAAACCATGAAATAATTTTATTCATAAAGAGTTTATTAAATAGAATTGTGAAAATGAATTTATTTATTTATTTTTAAAAAAAGAGGGTTGACTCAACCCAACCCATAAGCTGACAAGGAATGGATTGGGTTGAGATTTTGAATCTATGTAAAAAAATGAATTGACCCGACTTAATCTATATTTTCTCAACTCATAGTATTTTGGATTAGATTACACCGAGTCAGCCTATATTGACACCTCTAGTCCCTATCATATTCCTCATCACCTAACAATTGCCTCACTAGCATTACCTCCCCTTCCTCACCCGCAACAACGCGATTCTTTCCTTCATTGTCATCATTCTCCTCCTCAGGGTCACCAACATTACGGCCACCTTCTTCAGCAGCGTTAACTCCTTCCTCACCCGCAATAGCACCATTCTCTCCCTTAAGGTTACTAGCATCACCTCCACCTTCGTCAGCAACATTAGTTTGCATTTGGAGAATTGCTAGTTTTTTCTTTTAATATCTTCCAAATCGTTTATTAATTTTCCCCTAATCCATAGGATTGATTAGAGATAATCTGAGGAAAAAATGTACTAATGGAAAAGAAGTAATGAGAAGAGATTTGCTCTGAAATGGAGCATTCTCATTTCAGAATTTAAACTGCAAAACATGATCATTATTATTGAAACAGACAGAAGCACCAAGTCAATCCATTATTCTGCAAACCAATTCTGGATTTGCTAATTAACTTGCTATTGTTCTAGGTAAAGGAGATCCCTTGACGAATGCTCGGAATAGAGTGAGGCCTGGCGAGGGAGAAGTATATGGGACTTCATGTGCCGCACCCCGAACTGTAGCAAACGTCAAAAACGTTACATTTTTTCCTTCCTTTGCTTGACCAAACGATTGAGTCCACCCACCAACCTGAACGTAATGTTTGAAGAAACTTCATTAAGACTAGGAATCAGAAATCAAATACGGGGAATGGAATTGGAAACAGATCATGATTACCTGCATGTTGTCAAACCAGGGAGCGTAGTTCACAAAGTTCCCAAAGTTCCCAAATGGCACAAGTTTCATATCTTTCGCAAGCATGTTAGCAATTATCCTTGTTTGTGTTAGTGGGATTTTTGCATCTTGATCTCCACTGCAGTGAATTAGCTCAAATTTTTTCAGTGGATTATAGGGGCGAATGGAGCTTGGAAGTGACTCATTGAGGTGATGACTTACTTGTACAGGAGGATTGGAATACCACTTCTGAGAAGATTCAACAGAAGAGGTATGATATTGGTTTCTAGATTTTTTCTTTCATAGACAAGATCAGTCCTGCAACAGAAACAGTATGTTCAGTATGAGCAGGTCAAAATGTATATGATATAGTTTGTTCAGGAAAAGAGAGAGAGACCCTGTACAGAATTCCCAACGATAAGGAAGGTGAGTTGTGTTTGCATGAAGTGCTTCTTGGACTTCGGGTTTGTTGAGGTATTTATGTATCCTATCTTCGATACATGGATCACCGGGAATAACTGATCTCATCGGAAGCTGCCAGAACAATCAAAGACAGTAGCTAACAGGCTAGAAAGAACCCGGACATTTGGACATTTGCATCATTTATATTTTACTGGGATGGCTTAGGAAAAAAGCACCACTCACCTCTGCATGTAATGTATCGAAATTTCCCAGATAAACAGTCTGCCCAAACAGACTTGTTGATGTGCAAATAGGCAAAGTCACATCTCCGTATTGAGTATACCAACCTATTTCCGCTCTTTGTTTGTGGTTCACATCAGTGCATTCTTTGGACAAATTATGATGAAGGGACTCTTTGGCATCCCTCGGGCAACTGCAGACTGTCTTTCTCAGCATGAGCATTTCATCCGAAATGAGTCCATGTGACCAGAAAAACTCAGTGTTATCAATACTAATCTCCCAATCTAGAAGAGGATTCCCCAACTGCAGGAATAAGGAAAAGCGAAAGAAATGTTGAAAATTGATAGAGCTGAAAGATAACTGATAGCTAGGTAACATGAAGCTGAAAACAGGATGGAAGCAATCAGAGATTAACTGCAACTGCTTTGAGCCTGATTGGTTTGCCATTGGAATGTTTATTGTAATCCAGCACTAAGGCAGCAAGCTGTGGTATGTAGTGACCTGCATTTGTAATTGTGCAGGTAACGGAAAATAATAATGCTTTGCAGAAATATTTTCCAAACAAGATAATTCAATTCAAATCAAATGATTACCATTGGCATCAGAATGTTAAATGCCCTTTGTTTGACTGCCAGGAGACAAGCAAAAGTGCAGAACAGAAACAGGGTAAAGAAAGGCAAAAAACAGAAGTTGCCATAAATGAAAATTTACCTGCATAGCTCTCCCCGGTAAGGTACAAATCCGAGTTTCTATATTGCGGGAATTCCTTGAACCAATTAACAAGAAATTGCAGATTCTCCTCAGCTGGAAAAGGCTTAAAAAATCAGTGGTTTGAGTTGAACACTTCACCAATGTGCCTGATCACATGTTAAACAAAATGTATCTACCTGTAAAAGTATCATTAACATCTATGTAATCTGAGCTGGTATTTGAGTATGAAAATCCAACTCCAATTGGACTTTCAACATACAACATGTTTGATTCTGTTCGTTCAGAAAGTCAAAATCAGTTTAGATTTCCATCTTATGATGTACGTGAATATATACCAAAGCTTTACCCAAATTCCATGAATATTGATTCTTGACCAAGTAACCATCTTCCCCTGGCTGGAAAGGACCATGTTCCATGAACGCGCCATAGCCAAGAGATGAACAGCCAGGGCCTAATTCAAACCCCAGAAAAACAATGTGCAAACAGACACGAGTAAGCTAAGCTGCAACTACATTCAAGACTAAAGTTCAAAACACTGACAAAACTTGAACATAGATTCATACCTCCATTTAGCCATAATGTTAAAGGATGTAACAGTGGATCAGCGGCATCCACTTCCACGAAGTAGTAGAATAAAGCTCGACCATGCTTAGCATCAGTGACAATGTAACCAGAGTATTGCTTGAAACCAACATTGGCAGGTTGATTCGGGAGTCTTGTTATCAGCTCAGCAGAAGCCCTGGAAGAGAAAAACAAGCAAGAAATAGCAGTGAAGTAAACTAACAACTGCATCTTTTTTTCCAGATAAAGAAGAATTGAAGTAGCAAAATCAAAGTGCGAGTAGCTTCTAGGATGGATCATGTAACGTACTTATATGGTCCAATGATGAACGTAGCTTTCGCTTTTTCCATAAAAACCAAAAAGCTCCTGCTCAGGGTCGAAATTCTTCATCACATGTGTAGGCCCATAGCAAACACTTGCAGTCAAAAAAGCAAATTGAAAGGGAATCAAAGGAGGGATGAAGCATTGGTACCAGGTTCACAGTACAGATTTGGTTCTACATTACGTTGGATTTGTTTTGATTTGTTGATTGATTGATTGACATGGAAGAAAAAGAGATGAAATTACAAAGACAAAATGTTGGGTCGAACTTTATGAAAAGCAGTGAAAATTTGAAGGATTCAACCAAATTTCTGTACTTCTTATCAATGACTCTGAAGATTAATTTGTCAGAATATGTAAATATCATTGGAGTGGGCAATTTTGATGCCTATTTCACTATCAGTCAACAAGTTTGATCGAGTATTTGTTAGAAAAACGAGGAAGTTTAAGTGGTGGAAGTGGCCAAATTGTACTTTATTTGGTGAATAATTGATAGTTTTGTCGATCTATATTATATATATTTTGTCGATAATTGATTGACTGAAATGATTATAACTTACCATAAACATCACTTTTTTATTTTAAAAATGCTACTGTTTTTGTTTATAAACCCAAATTACATGAAAATTTAGTCGAAAATTCTATTATTTCTCAGTTATGGCTCTTTCTCAGTTATGAAAATTTCCAAATCCTGCCAAGACTTTTCACCATATTTGATCAAGTACAACAAGAGAAAGAAGATAACAAAGCTAAAATTGTAATTCGAAAGAAATGGAGCTTTCTTCTACTCATTTTTTGTTTTCTTTTCTGATGGACTTCTCCCCACACCGGTTAAACTGCAAACGAAAATCATAATTAAAACACAACAGCAAATCCAAGTTATTAATCCTCATACTCTATTTTTTCGTTTCCGGTGGAATTCTAGGCAGAGGAGATCCTCTAAGAAATGCCCGGAATAGGGTGAGAGCTTGTGAAGGTGAAGTGTATGGGACCTCATGTGCTGCACCTCTGACTGTAGCAAATGTTAAATATGTTACATTTTTCCCTTTCCTTGCTTGGCCAAATGACTGAGTCCACCCACCAACCTGAATTTAGACAGAATAGATCAGCAGCAGACATGATTTGACAATTGATGTGAAGTTATATGCAACACTTTTATTGTGGAATTGCAAATGCATACCTGCATCTTATCATACCAAGGAGCATAACTCCCAAATGGTACAAGCTTCAATTCTTCTGCAAGCATATTCGCAATTATCCTTGTTTGTGTTAATGGGATTTTTGAATCTTGATCCCCGCTGCAGTGAAGTAGCAGAGGCTTTCTGTCAATTAAGGAAACAATGAAGCTTGGAAGAACACTATTGAGTTGTAGAATTACTCACTTGAAAAGGAGAATTGGTATGCTTCTCCTGAGAAGCTTTGACAGAAGAGGTATGATGTTGATTTCTAGACTCTCTCTTTGATAGACAAGGTGCCTGTAACAGACAAAAGTTTGATTTAATTTGTTTGCATATTAACATGAGTTAAGAACTAGTTAAATAGGCATAGTAGAAGCAGTTTTGACAGAAGGGGTATGATATTAATTCCAAGATTCTGTGTTTGATAGTCAAGATCCCTGTAACGGAAACAGGTTTGTTTAATTTGTTTGCATACTTGCAAAAACCTTGAGTTAAGAACTAGTTAAATAGGCACATCAGATTTGCCAATTGAGAGAAAGAGATCAGACCCTCCACAGAATTCCCAATCTGAAGGGAGGTGAGTGGTGTTTGCATGAAGTGCTTCTTGTACTTTAGGCATGTTAAGATATTGATATATCCTATCTCCAAGACATGGATCACCGGCAACAGCTGATCTTATAGCAAGCTGCAAGAACAATCAAAGACTATTGCTAGTTAGAAAGAACCTGTACATTTTGCATGACATATTTACAGAGATTCACTTGCATCGCCTCAGCAGTAATGCTGTTTCTTACCTTAGCATGTAACATATTGAGAGCTCCCTGATAAACGGTCTGCCCAAGTACAGTTGGTGACAGGCAAATAGGCAAAATCAGGTCTCCGGGGTCAGTAAATGAACCCATTTCTTCTTGCTCCTGGTTCAGGACATCGATACATTGTTTGGACAGGTTACGATGAAGGGACTCTTTAAGCCTTCTTGATTCATTACATACAGTCTTTCTCAGAATCAGCATTTCATCTGAAATGACTCCATGTGACCACAGAAATTCAGCATTGTTGACACTAATTTCCAGATCTAAAAGAGGATTTCCCAACTGCAGAAGATCAAAAAAGTAAAGTTGAAAATTGCTAAAGCTCAAATGCAAAGCTAAAACATGAATAGCATATTAGTAGCAATGAAAGATTAACTGCAATGGCTTTAAGCTTGATGGGTCTGCCACTGAAACGTTTATTGTAATTCAGGATTAAGGCTGCCAGCTGAGGAATATAGTGGCCTACATTTGTGTAGAAAAAAGATTAGATTATGTCCACAATCTTGATGCCAGGCCAAGGTAGTAACTCCATTCAAATAAGATTAATTTAATCAGTAAGCACAGAGGTGAAAATGAAACCTGACCCGCATAGCTTTCCCCAGAAAGATACAAATCCGAGTCTCTATATTGTGGGAATTTTTTGAACCAATTAAGAATGAATATCAGATTCTCCTCAGCTGAAAACACTCATTGTCAGTGCTCTGAGTTTAACAATTAACAATGTGGGTGATGACATTTTAGCATTAATCACATCTACCTGTTATGGTATCATTCACTCCGAGGTAATCCGAGCTTGTATTTGAGTAAGAAAATCCAACGCCAATCGGACTTTCGAGATACAACATGTTTGATTCTGTTCAAAGAGAAATATCAGATCCATGGAGTAACTTAATTTCACCGTTAGATTTCCATGTTACTGAACAAATACTAAAGCATTACCCAAATTCCATGAATATTTATTCTTGATCAAGTGTCCATTTTCCCCTGGCTGGAAAGGACCATGCTCTGAAAATGCACCAAAGCCCAGAGATGAACAACCGGGGCCTGAAAAGAAAACAATAATCAAACAGACAGAAGTTAAGCCAAGCAGAAACACCCTGGTGGAATTCAACCGCAAACAGCAACACCAAACTAGGCTGTAGATTCTTACCTCCGTTAAGCCACAATGTCAAGGGATGTAATCCTGGGTTGGCGGAATCGACTTCCACAAAGTAGTAGAATAAAGCTCGGCCATGTTTCGGTTCAGTAACGATGTAACCAGAGTATTGCTTGAAAGTAACATTGGCAGGTTGACCTGGGAGACCTTTTATCAGCTCAGCAGAAGCGTTGCAAAAGAAGAAGAAGAAGCAAGAAATAACAGGAAAAGCAAGGAGAAACGTCATACTGCTCCACATGGAGAAGAGAAGAGTTTGGGTCCCCAGAAAGTTTTCTGAAAAGTTAAATTTAGAGTCCCACAATGCAAGTTGCTTTGAAATATCCAAGAAATAATTAAGAATTCAATCCATTCAAAAGCAAAGAACCGGGAATTCATAATCTCCAGTCTGCGTACGCCAAAGTTGTTTATCAGATAAGTAGGACCATAGCAGAATAGCAGATTGGTTGAAGACAAAAATGTAAGTCAGAAAAGAATCTAGAAAATTGCCTTATGATGGGAATCACGAGAGGATGGGTGATCCTTCCTTGTAAGCATGGCCGTCCCACCCAATGTCTCATCTGGCTGTAATACTTTTCATTGGTTTGACTTTTATTCCCTTTATTAGTATCCCATTAGGGAAAAAAAATGAACTCTGTTATCTGCTAAGTCTCGCTCTCCTCGCGAAGGATTTGGACAGTAGTAAACTCAATCGTGGGCAATTGGACAAATCAAAAGCAGTTTATATGCTGATCTGATGAGTGCCTGGGTTTCAGTTTCTCGTTCTGAACATGCAACAAGCTGCATGAAGCCTTCTCAAACCTTTTTAACTTCCACCGAAGCAATAACTATTTTATTCTCATAAACTAATATTTTATTTTATTGTTATGTATTTTCCATTGATTTTTAAAGAGAATTAATTGACCTTTGTTCATCCCACTTTCAATGCCATCAGGCTTGGTAATCCTATAATGATGTATGATCATGCAGAACTGTGATTCTTACTACAAGTGAACCAAAATGATATATCAACTTTGATGACATAAGAATCATTCATCACAAGTTTCATATGTTATGATTCCATCACAAACAAGCAGTAATAAATAAAGCATCAGCTTAAACGTTTGAGAAATAAACTATTAACTAATCTTTACTACTTTTTAAATTGCATTTAAATTTTAATTTTAGAAGGAAATTAATATTTTGTTGAGTACTCAAAATCACAATATTAAGTGTGATGATTGGTAAATTATTTTGTCATTAAAGTATTTAATGAGTTTATTTTGGTTTTGATACATATATTAAAAAATTAATGAAAGTTTTTGTTTCTTTTTATAAATGGTTTATGAAATAATCTCATTAAAAATAATATCAAGTTTAATAAAAAAAGGGAAAATTTCAAATGATAATGATTTTAATAATGATATTTATAAAAATAACTTTATAAAATATTGATTTTGTTCATAAAAGGATAATTCAAACTTAATTTTTATAAAAAAGTAAATTAATATATTTATTATGAAATCAAATAATTAAGTAAGAAAATATTTATATTTATTTCTTAACATCATAAATCTTTTATATTTAAACATTTGACTTATTAATAAGTAGATGTATCATCTACTCAAAGATTTGTAATTTTCAAAAAAAATTTTGTTTAATTTAGTTTTTAAAAATTTCAATTGTATTTTGTTTAATCTCTATATTATATATATTTTTTCTATTTAGTCATTATGATGTAGCTTAGATTTTTTTTTTATTGATCTCTCACGTTAATATTGTCACGTGATCATATAAGTGCCGCATAGTATTACAACATTAGCATGTCATAGTGATTTAACATTACCACATTAGTAAAATCTGCCACATTAGCATTAATGTAATTACCTCTAATAGTAATTAGACAGCATGAAAGGAAGGGATTAAATTGTTCAAATTTCTAAAACCAAAAGACTAAATTAATCAGATCTTGAATTCAATGACTAAATTGACCCAAAAACATAAGTATAGAGACTATTTAAATACGTTGACTATTTTTTTTCTCGTCCTGAACATTGTGCAATTTAATTGACCTTTATGTTCATATTTCAAGTTTTTTTTTAATAACATAATTTATGTTTTTAAATTCCAGCTGTTAATTAAGATGCACAATTAAGTATGTAAGATTAAAGAATCCTATAATCAAATTCAAATAAAATTTGAAAAGTAAAACTATTATCAGTAATGGTCATAGGGTAAATTATTCGAATTCAATTATAAATAACAATTTTTAATATTAAATTTTAATTTTATATAATTAATACAATATGTATTAAAATTTATCAATGGTTTTAAATCTGATTTCAAATTTTAATTTGTTTTTTCATAAGCTATATATAATTTATTAATTTAATTTTCATTAATAATATACATAAAATTTGTTTTATTTCGAATTCAGATAATTAAACTTTTATCAGGATTTGATAGGGTACACGCTGCCATACATACGCCCACGGTCGAACATATTTTTTTGAAACAGGCCCTCTGCCAGTCCGTTGGCTTGGTCTTAAACAAAGCTATAAAAAGCCCAATCCCAATGGCCCAACACACATCCACTAATCAAAAACGCCGCCGTCCCTTCTCCGTGTAAGGCGGTTTGGTGGCTGCTTAATACGGCGTCGTTTACTAACTAGAAACACAGTGAAAATGAAACTTTTATTTCCGCATTCAGCTAGACCACCGTGATCTGGTGTTTCTATCTCCCCTTTACCCCCCCTTAAAATTGCTGTCTCAGCCAAACTCTCTTTGGTATTCTATCAACAAACACCGCCATGGCTATGCAAACCGGAGTGGGCTTGTCTAAGATCTTGATCCTAGCCGGCGCAGGCACTGCTACAAACTCACTTTCTTACTTCATTCCTTCTCTGTATGCTCTTTTCTTATCTTTGATTTCAATTTTGACTTTTTTCGTGTCGTAATTCTCTTCAGGTTACACCGGTACGATCCTCCTCAAGAACGGAAAACTATCGGATATAATAGGTGAATTGCAGGTTAGTTTTAACCGTTTCGTTTATTTCAAATTGTTCGTTTTCTCGCCGTCTTCTCGATGGAATTTGGATCCTTTCGAAGTTTTGTTTTCTTGACTAGGTTTGTTTCTGGCCTTTAACTGTCTATTTTTTTTAATTGTCCTTTTTTTTTTGTTTGTCTTGTTCTGATTTGGCAGTCACTGGTGAAGGGACTGGAAAATTCTGGGGAGCAATCGGATGATTCAGATGCCCTTCTGGCTCAGGTCATTATAATAAAGATGAGCTTAGTTTTCGAACTTTTTGGTTGTAATTTTGATTGTTTTGCATTAATTTATAGGTCCGTCGCTTATCAACTGAGATTAGACAACTGGCCTCAGCACGGCAGATACATGTTTTGAATGGGGATTCCGGCGGTATTTTTTTATTATATTTGTTTAGATGGTAGTTTGCTTAGATGCGTTAAAATAGAAAAAATATGTGAAACCTGTTTGTATTAGCGATATTACATGAAGCATTTTATGAATAGTTGTGCTTCACTTGTTTGTTTTTCCTGATTTAGCAGGTAAGTTAACCTCTCTTGTAGTCCCAGCCGCTACGTTGGGGGTATTGAGTTATGGTTACATGTGGTGGAAGGTATGCTAGTTAGATATTGGCATCTTTTCATGAATTATTGATATGGGGTTTCTTTTTCAGAATCTAGTGCTTAGGTAGAATTTACTATCTTTTTTGTACAGAATAAAATCACCCCAATGCCTGCCTGCCCCTTTTGATTTATTTGCATCCAAATTTTTAATGCCTTTTGAGGGAAACAAAACTGATACTTTTTCTGCAACTTTCTCTCATTCTCTTCATCCTTGCTGACTGCTTGTTATTTGACTGATTGGGTCTTTTTCTTTTTTGTTTCCCTTATCTAATTATTAGGGCATTTCATTCTCTGATCTTTTCTGGGTAACAAAACGAAGTATGGCAATTGCTGTGGAGAACTTGACAAAACATCTGGATTCTGTATCAGATGCTCTCTCTGTAAGTTTATGTTCTTTTGATTGCAATTTCTTAGCATAGTAACAAACCCAAATTATGTTGCATGTTACAATATTTTGTTTATTTTTAATTTAAAAATGAATTGTCTGGTATAAGTTATTGTGTTTCATATTCTTGGAAATTTTTTCTTTCATTAACTAAGTAAAAGTATTCATTTTTATTTACTCCTCCAGTGCTCATTTTTAGGTTCACTGAAGTTATTATTTGATGAAGTGTTGTGTGTTAAATTAGTATAGTCAGGCAATTTGTGCTTGTTTGCACCTGTTTTGGTGCTAAAGTGTCCATAAGAAGTATGCATCTTCCAATATGAGTAGATTTAATTAATTTTGAGATCACTTTTTACATTAATATGGCACACTAAGAAATATGCATACAGCCTATGATTACTTAACAAATTTTATGTGGGCAGGCTGCAAAGAAGCATTTGACACAACGTATTCAGAATCTGGATGACAAAATGGAAACACAGAAGGAAATCTCAAAGAGCATTCAAGAAAGTGTAAGTGAACATGTTTTTCCTTTTTTTTATCTGACCTTTGAGGATTGCATACCTACACGACCTTTTTCAAAAAGGCCCACTTCCCTATCAACCTTCCCTCTTGTTTCTTCTTGCATTTCTTATGATTTTTAGTTCTAAGAAAGAAGCGAAGAGGGTACAACATGCTCCAACATGATTGTTTCAAATGCTTCCATTTGTGGAGATTAATTAGCTATGATTTTGAAGACAATAAGTAGGTTCAAAAGTTTTATTTGAAACATTTGAAACTTGATGTTAGACTATCAAGCTTACGATGCATTTTGTTGCTTTTTGATTCTGGGCATTGGATTGATGTACTAGGTTGTGGGGTCATTGGAGAACCAATTAGATTGATCAATGAATTAATCTTTACCATCTCTAATGTTGTTCATATTTGTGAAACAGGTAGAAGAGGCTCGTTTGAATCTTTCTAACATTGAGTATGATTTGGATGCACTGCAGAGAATGATATCTGGTTTGGTGAGGATTTTTTTTTTATTCTCTAATAATTGTTGCACGTCTTGAGAAGTGGTTGTTATATGGTGCCACAGTGATTGTGCATCTCTTCTTTCTATCTTTCATCTTTTCCCACTTCAGAAGCCGTTAAACTTATTACTGAAGTCAACTGCTTTTTCCAGAAACATAAAAGAGGAGCATTTTTTATTCTTCTTTTCCATGTCTCTTTCTTGTTCTTGTAAGAGTAAAATTAAAATGCCATACAGGCCTTAAGAATACTTCAGGGTCATATCTATCTATACATGTGTATCTGATTTGTTTTGCTTCTGTGATAATTTTTTACAACTTTGCCCACTTGCAGGATGGAAAAATAGGGTCATTGGAATATAAGCAGGTAAATAGTTTTTAACCTTTTCTTGTACTTTGCAATATAGAAGTCGAATGTGTGATTCTGGGTGGGAAATTGCATCTAAATGTAGGTTTTAACTCTTAAATTTGCCATATTTGACTAATATTTTTGAATTATGTATTTCTCTGTTGCCCACTTTCCCTGTGATTGTTGCAAGGTCTGGTAGTGGTACTGCTGAGAATGAATATAATATTTAGTTTCTTGCACATCTTGTAGTAATTTTTTTCACCTTTGCTGTATCTTTATTGATTCTATTCAACAGAATTTACCTAAACAGTTTTTTTCTGGCAGGATCTTGCCACTGCTGGTGTGTGGTACCTTTGCAACGTGGTTGGTGGCAAGAAAACAAAAATGCCTGAAGCTCTACAGGTACTAGTGGGAAGATGACTCTTTAGTTTGTTTTCACCTGTTGAGTTTACAATGTAATAATATATTGATTCTGTCATATTTAATCATATTTAAAAAGGAAAAAGGATAAAAAATGGGGGGTGGGGAGCAGATTGTTTTTGTCTTTTCTCTGTCCATATGGATCACTTCTTATTAACCTGGTGGTAATCCTGCTAGTGTGTAGAAGATTATATGATGCATTTTTCTGCACACCAGGCGTTCCTTCTCTGAAAATTTTTTCATGACCATAATCTAAGTGGCTGATTTGACATTTTCTTGCAGGACCAACTTAAACTTTCTGGGAAATCTCGTAATTTACTCACAAATTCAGGAACTCCGACTCCAAAGGTATCTTTCTGTATCTATAGAGAAAGTTTAAAAATAAGCAAGTACACATGCACGTATGCATTATAGTTAAATCTGCTCTTGTCAGATGAAGGGGATTGACCAGGTATCAATGTTAGTTGGATGTGCTAGCATAAAGTTTCATGGATCAACCCAATTCATGTTGTTTATTATGCCTTAAAAATTTCAATTTAGACCCTTTGTTTGGTTAAACTAAGGACTTCATGGAATTTAAAATGTTGATAATGTCTAAATTTGACATGTGGTTTGTTTCAGGGTCTGAAAGACTTTGCAGATATTTTTCCTGGAAGTGTGAATAATTCAGGAACAGATGCTATCGTGCAAGATGGTATTGATAATTTGGATGAAGAGCCAAGAACCCTGCAGAGGTTTGTTTCATAATTTTGGATATCCTTAAGGTTTGCTTTATTCATTTCATCTAAGTTGAACCTAGTTTGTGAAGTAGGGAACATTTTTGGAGGGCAATGTTCTTATACTAGAGACCAAAGAAAAAACGTAATGCTATGTTATTCTTAAGCAATCATATGCCTGAGGTTAGCGGTCATTTGAAAAAAGCCGGTAATGTAGCTTTCAGTACCGATCGTTTAACACAATTTGATATTTGCAGGAGCATTTCAGCAAGATGATGATCACACGTTCACGATAATCATTTTCAGTGTGGCAGTTGAGAGCATTTACCAGTAGCATAATTTCACGTACAGAAAATTTAGAGTAAACCAAAGTACAAAGGATTAACTTTCTATTGGTTATTTTACCCGTTTGTGATGTACTTATAACAGCAGTTGATTCTGTTGTATCCTCATAAGTTTGGCAAATATGATATCTGTTCATCCTTTTGTTTCCTTTTCTCCCATTTTTAATATTTGGAATTATGTAATAAAAATTATAAAAATTAGATTTTTTGTTTTTGCATATTATTCTTTATTCTCAAGACAAAGCCGAACAAAAAGGAAAAAAAATGTATTTTTAAAGGCAATTATACAAAAACATTACATGATAACAAGTTATGTAATGGTCTTGTTTATTTCTATGATATTGTGCACTTTTAAAGATGCTATTCAGCATGAGATGGATGCAAAACAAGTAATGGTTGATTTCCATCATACATGAGCCTGTTCATGAGTTAGTCATTAAAAATCAAGGTCGATTTTAATTACACATTTAATATTCAAACTATAATTAAATACATGAATTGATATCAAATTGTGTATGAATATTGCTTTCAATTGTTAACACCGTTAATCATGTCCAAAGTTTTTAAAAAATGAATATTTGTACAAATTTTAGGTGAATGCCATGTGGCATTTCACAATTGGTTTGGTAATTATTTCTCCATATTTATCAGCAGACTGAAACCTGCCATCATCTTGGAAGGCAATGAAACTTGAATTGCTAAACTATGTTATGCACAAAGCATAGTTAATTTGAACTGCTAACATCAGCGTCAAAGCACTAGGCACAGACAAAATTCTTTGGGGAGAGTTTTCCCTAGGCTAGCTATCATACAGAATAATTGACAATGAAGATTAGAAAGGTCATCCTATGACAAAAAGTTTCGAAAAATCTCCATTATGAACTACCTGCTCCACTCGTAGTCTCCTCCGTATCTGGGATTGGCATTGTTGACATGACTGGCCTCTTCTGGTTTGATGGAATTAGCAAAGGCATGCCAACCTAACAGATATGGCAAGATAAACTGCATAGATAACGAGGAAAAAAGTTCCAAGCATATGAGAAAACAGTTAATGATGCTAATAACTTGTAGACTTTGAGATGAAGCATATGAGAAAACAGTTAATGATGTTAACAACTTAATAGACCAAAGAAATCAACTACGGTCAGCAATAGGAAATCAGCTTCAAGTGCCATAAACAACAGTTTTAATCATAAACTCCCTGTTCAAAAGTTCAAGCATCCTATTTGCTTGGAAAAGATATCAAAAGAGGAAAGGCAAGTTGGGGGGTGTGGGATTTCATTGCCTAACATTTTTTTCCATCTTCAAACATCTCAACACTTGTGAATTTACTCATGCTGCTGTGAGATTTGTTGAACATTTTGCAGAAGATAAAAGAGAAAAAGAGAAAATCATTCAATCCACGAAGATGACCAGGATGTCATAATCTTCAGATACATCCCAACACCATAGACGGAAAACCTAAAACAAAATAAGAAAAATGATGGAGAGGGATGTCATACACTGAATGCTGAGTTGAGGACAGTGAACTCTGCTCGGGTGATTGGAATATAAATATTTTCATCCAAGTTTAGAAGTTTGTTTTGAACACCTTCAAAAGAAGCCATAACAAACAAATTGGATCAGAGAAAATGTTAGGTCTCAATATGTCACATGGATTGATTATAATCTCTTTTTAATTCAAGCATGGAACTAAAATATTAAGCACATGCAGCAAGACAGGAAAGAGAGTTAGAGGGGATGGGGGGCATAAATATATGTCTATCTTTCCCCTTCTAACTTTAATGTAAACAATCGTTATATGGATTTTGGTTACAAGATCTAAATGAGGAGCAACATGAAAATTTGATCCACCAACAACAGCATGGATACAAATTCCACAAGCATATCATTAACGTTGTAGGACAATGAAATGTATCAATACCAAACAACGCTTGAATACATGCATATTTTCCTAGGGTGATAAATGCACCAAACTTAAAATTGACAAGGATCTACTAGCAATGTATAATTGTTCTTCAGAAGATAGCATTGCACAAGAACAATACTGACACCGCTGCATTACATTTAGATATCATGGCATCATTCTTGTTTCCTCAAAAGGATTCAAGGGAAAATTGCATTACCAAGATTAAAGAAGTGGCCAGACCCATCAGGAAGTGGCTCTACCTTCAAGACCTTCCTAACCTTACCTTCCTCACTGCATAATAAAACAATGTCAATTAAATTCATCTCAATGTAACAACAATAGTGGCAACTTTGCATGACAAATTGTGGTAGGGCCAATGCTAAAACATTAGAAGAATTTAAACTAAACTTACTGTCCAAAAGTACAGGATGTAACTCTATCTTTACACACATATTGTTAACAGTTACTGATAGTTTCTGTGATACAAGCTATAAAGCCAATACTCCGAGATCTTTGCAAAGAGCAGGTAGTGAAATTTCTATCACAACACCTTATCCACTTCCTCCACAAAGCAATAATAAAAATGAACAAATTTTCCATGATTAATGGAAATAACTAATTAGAAGCATTCAGAAACAAAACCTGAGATTAATAATGGCAATTGCTAATTTTCAAAAAATAAAATAAAATAATGGCAATTGCTGCATAAGTAAACACAATATCATACATATATAACCATTCCTCCAGGAGAAACAAACAAACAAGAAAACTCTTTGGCTGTATTTTGACTTGTAGATAACATAAAATATGTTCTACCAATTTTTTTGGACAATTTCACAATGGATTCTGGCTCTCAAGTTTCTCATCCCTCAAAACTTCATCCTTATAAGCGGATTCAATCCCAAGCATTGCTTTACTTTTAGATTGTACAAAGACTTACAAATGACTTGCTGCTATTGAAGAAAAATCTTTATTAAGGAAAAATCTATTGCTTGCCTTCAGAGTCATTGATTGTCAATCTATATCCTTTAAACATCTGCTTTCAAATGGCATATGAAAGTACAAGAAACCACAAAGCTAAAATGCGACTGGGGATATAAAATATTTATGTTGCCAGCACACACATAATGCATCACGAAGAGTTCAATCAGCAACTTAAGTAACCAATCTACATGGACCAATGTCCAACACACACATAGGTAGTCAGGCAGGAGAGAATAGTACCTTTTTCCCTTAAAAGGATCATGGAAAAATTCACACGATTCCCTAGCACCGAGGCTAATCAGAGTTCCAATTTCTGTCACTGATAATGAGAACACCTGGAGAGATGCAAATCAGCAATGGATGTATATCATGTCTCTAGTCTATATTCATCCTTTTATACGATGACGACTTAACATTTGATGCATAGTAGACACATCAAATATAAAAATGAGAAATGAGAAAAGAAATTAATGAAGATTTTTAACATATATCCATTCAACGTTATACAAGCTCCTTGTTCTTTCAAATATGAATGGCGAAATCTGTCAAGTGTTTTAGAGAAAATGTAAAGTGACTTTGAGCACCCCCAGCATGAATACTTTAAAAGCGTGAAGTGCTTAATAGAGAGTAGGAAAGACTCAAAGGAAACTGACTTCTTTTTGATTGGTTCAGTTATCCATTCACTGCAGCTATTAGCTATATAACACTAACAATTTTTGAGTGGAAACTAATAGATATATTAGTTAGGCAACTTACTGGAATTAGTACCATTCTGTAATTTAGAACAAGACTTTGAAACAAAGCTGTCCTTTGTTCTATCCTAATACGTGAACCGTGCATTTCTTTAAATATTAGAAACATCAACATCTCAAAAGTTCTACTTAATTTTCTAAAGAAACATTGAAACCAAAGCCATATTAGCATAAGATCACCTGCTTCCTGCTCCAATCATATTGTCTAACACCAGCGGCAGGTGCAAACTGTAGCAGCACAAAACCTTCCCTAGATATTTTAAATGCCCCAGACTGCATAGCAAAACACACCCACCACACCACCGCGCCACACCCCCCACCCCCAGAAAAAAAAAGAACACAAAACAAAGAAAAACTATCAAAATTTCCAATATTCCGAACCATAAGTACAGTTATAGCTTGTAAAAAAAAGAAGAAAAAGAAAAACTTTGAATGAAACTTACATCTAAGGGCACAAACTCAGGGGCCCTCGGCTCCACAGTAAGAGCAGCCTTCCCTTTGTAAACTGAATGACCGACATAAAACCTCGGTGGCAACCCTGCCGTCAAGCAAAACCACTCTCAACACTTGAAAAACTACTGATAAAAGCTACCACACCATGGGTGGCTATTGCTTTACCTGAGGCTGGCGGCGATGCAGTGGAAGAAGAGTTACTGAACCTCTGTTGTTGATCAAAGTACTCTGATTGGCGGGATGTGAGAGAAAACTTGGAGGGTTTTGGGGTTAAAGACAGAGGATTAAGTTTAACGGCAAGGGTTTGGGTAGACTTGAGCCAAGAGAAAGAAGATAAAAGCTTGGTGTTGGAGTTGGGGTTTAAGGTTTGGGCTGAGAGTGGGGGAGAAGATAAGAATTGGAGTTGCAGCATTCTTCCCCCTTTTCTTTTTCTTTCTTTGATTTACTCACTTCTCTGCTACGTTTAGTAGCTACTGAAGCTTTTAGCAGTTTCTATTTTTTAAAATTTCACAAGAAAATGAAAAAGAAAAATCCCATCAATGGATACTGCTAACTTTAGAGTATAGTAAAAATTTAGAGAAAGGGTTCTTTTTTGGTGAAAAAATATGTTCTTTATTTACTAGTAGGTGGAATTTGATACTGTTGTCAGGTCGTGGGCTTAAGGCTTATCCTAGGCCACATGTCAAGACTAGAAAAGCAAAAGGCGCAGCCTCATGTCGTTTTGGCAACCACACGGTCTTCTTGAACATCACTTGTCACTGCAAAGTCATTTAGCCGATAGATAGATTTTCTTTCGTCTTTCAGTTTTCTTTTGCGTTCTAGTCTGAATCTTACATATGTAAATGTCTTCACTTTGTCCCTGTTTTCGACCACTCCTTCCTCAATGGAGGTACAAGAGTGCACGTTTTTTGGTTGTTCTCCCCTCTAAAACAAAGATTAGCTTCAAACCATGGGTGTTTTCCTCTTCCTCCAATGATGATTCAGCTTCACCGCCTAGACAAAGCCAAGTACTCTCTCGTTTTATTTCGTTTTTATTTCTTGGTTCACTTCTCTTTGCTCTTTTGGTGGGTTTTTTGGTTTTTTTTTAATGGTTTTTTTGGCCTCTGGTGACAGTTGGGTTATGATCCTTCAGAGGAGCTATATGGACTGTCGGTTGATCCAAAACCAAGGTTTTAGCGCTTTTGCTCTCATGCTTTCTGTGTCTCTATAGTGTTTCTTTGATATAGTCTTGATCTGTTACTTTTATTGCTCTGAGAACCTTGATTTTGTATGTTGTCAGCTGTTGCTTGACACGCATAGTCTGCTTTCTAGTAGAGACAATGTTCATGTTTAAAGAAAAAAATATTGCTGAGCAGCCCCCCTCTCAATAAAGAGTTATTGAGATCGCGCAATTCCTAGCATTTAACATGGTCTAAAATCTGAATTATCGTTGTGTTAAGATGTTTGAATTCAAAGGGTTTGTATCTGCTCCTTTCATGTTTATTTTCAGTATCATTTTAACCACTCTGTTTTCTTCTGAAAAGGGAATATCTGTCTATAAAGTGTTTGCTTCACTCCCTCATGACCCAAAACCCTTCATAGCTTGAGTACAGAGCTGACATCCTTTTTGAATTTGGTTTCAGCAATGCTCTTCTAGGGTCACCAAAACCAAGATCGTGGTTTGGTCCAAATGGTCAGTACATCAGAGAGCTTCCTTGTCCAAGTTGCAGGGGGAGAGGTTATACACCATGTACAGAGTGTGGAATAGAAAGATCAAGGTCGGACTGTTCTCAATGTAGCGGAAAGGTACATGTCCCTTAGTTAAATGGTAAAACAACATAAACACGAGAAGAGTAGCTAATGCATTTGCAGTTGATGACTGCTTCTTGAACAAAGATTGGAACATGACATGCTTTGAAATTTCCATGTTCTTATAAGGGTAAATTATTGTTAGGTAATTAAGGGAATCCATCAAACAAGTCTAAGAAAATCGTTTCTAGCCATTCACCTAATTTTGGCTTCCCAACAATGGCAGGGTATAATGACTTGTCGTCAGTGCTCGGGGGATCGTGTGATATGGGAGGAGTCAATTGATGAGCAACCATGGGAGAAAGCTCGTTCAATGTAATCTCATTATTCTGCTTTTTCTTTTATGCAAAAATCAGTTCAGATAAGTCATTTTCTCTACTGGATTACCTGTAGCCAATGCCTTTCTATAATGACATTTTTGCCTTTTTTCTGATGTGATCACCACTTGGGATGTCCTACCATCAATTCATTTTCTCTTTGACTGCCTTCTAGATTGAATAGAATTATAATTTCAACTATAATCATTCAATATTTTGTCATGCAAAAAATGTGTATATACTGTCAATTATAATTTGCTCAAGGTAATCATAAAAGATGCAGCCTGGCTGCTTCTACAGTCTGGTTATATATATATATATATATTTATTGTTATTCCTTTTAAATAATGAGCCATGCTTATTCTATTGAAAATTCAAAACCTTGCAATAGAAATATTTTCCTACATTCATATGGAGTCCATATTTATGTCCTGAGGCATGAAGTTTGGCCTTCTTTGTCATCATGAATTCTTTTTACTTAATTATAGTATAGATGGAAAGGAAACCTCTACATGATATTCTTCTGCTTGAGTTACTTGATAATACACTAGGTTTTGGAAATGCGCTTGATCATCATTGTGTATATTAGATTTCTGAGTTTATTGATTATGCATCATAATATAACTGCTCCTTTAAGTTCTTTTTCTCCTTTATTCCTCTTGTCCAGTTCTCCACTCAGAGTAAAAGAGGATGATGAGGTAGACAACCTAGACCTAAATCTGGATGTGAAGAAAAAATCAAAACGTGTTTACCAATCACCCTCTCCTGAAGTTGGATTGAAGATCAGCCGATCACTAAAAGTTAGTTGGCTGCTTGAATCTTACTGGCATTGTTTTATTCAAGACATTTTGTAGGCCTATGTTTTATACAACTCATAATTGAAATATTGAATTGTTCATGCATTTGTTTTAAATAAACTTTGGGCATCACTTCTTAATGAAGTTAGGCTAGAGTCATAATCTCTTCATGCCGCCATATCAACGCCTCAAATGTTATGTCTCAGGGGCTTGATAGCAATATAGGTACCTTGGTGAAGTTATCTTAGTTTGATCTTTGGTTCTAAAGGTGAAGTATCCTTTAGCTTTCGCTCCTTTACGGTAACTAGATCGTACAATTTATAATAGACATATATCAAGAATCACGTCTGGCTTCATCTGAGATGCTTATGTAAATTTTAAAAAACTGCTTCTTGCTTTCTATACTAGGTTTGAATACACATATAGGTTCCACACTCTTCTTGAATATTTAAATGGAGAAATATCTATATGTTCATGGATTTAATCTTCTTTGTTTAGTTGGATGATTGCAGAGTCTCAATGCAAAAACTGGACTATTTAGTAAAAGAATGAAGATCATCCATCGTGATCCTATGCTTCAAGCGCAAAGGGTGGCTGCCATTAAGGTTCGAAACTTTAGCTTTTAGCTTTGTCACTTCAAGTTTGCGTAACTTTTTTTTGGTCTTGAGTTTTGACCATTTGAAAAATGGAGTTAGTCACATTGTTTTGCGGGAGAGTGGTGAGGGATTGATTACATCATACACAATGATGGTAATATTATGCCCTTTTTTCTTTTTTAATAAATCAACATCTGTCTATTGCTTTCATGTCAAGGACTTTATGATATATGAGCGGACCCTCAAATATGGAAAAGTTGGAGTTCTATAATACTTCTTCATTTCATGACATTTTACTGTAAGAGTCGATTCCTGATTAGAAACCAGGGACAAAAAGTAAGGTATTGTCCGCTTTGACTTGAAGGGTCTGACAGTTTTGTCCATGAAAGGCGCCTCACAGTATAGGATCAAGTCTATACATTTATACCATAGTGGATCCTCACAAATTCTCAATGTTGGATTGGGGGCATCACAGCTTGCAACTTTCTCTATGCAGTTAGAACTTGTGCTTTTCTTTCCAACAAATTGATTAAGTGTATCTAATGCTTTGGTAGTAATAATATACATAATGCAGAAAGCAAAAGGAACTGCTGCAGCGAGGAAGCGTGTTTCTGAAGCTTTGAAAGCTTTTTTTAGTGATCCAGAGAACCGTCGCAAGCGGAGCATTTCTATGAAAGGTCTTCTCACATGTTCCATTAAAAGTTTGGTGCTGACAGGTTTTCATGAAGTCAGAATACTTTATTTTGGTTTTCTGGCCATACAAAAAATTCACCTTTTACAGTTTTACCAGTTAATGATATGTGCTTCTGTGATTTGAACCAATGCCTGGAATTGCTGGCCTTCTTTTCTCAGTATTTTATATGTTTGTCTTCTAAACTATAGATATGTTCTACATTCCATTATAGTGGAGGAAAACTCCAGTGTCAACTTTTCTCTTGATCTAAATTCCACATCTAAACTGTTTTGATCATCCTTTTCCAGATACTGGTGCTATGTTGTTTCTGGTATTCTTGATGATTGTTAGCAATGAGCTGTAACATATGCTATGATATTGGCTTCTCCACCACATTTTTTCTGGTATTCCAGTGTCATTGCTTTATATGCCAGCCATTGGAACATACTTAAAATGCTCCATTGCAGCATGGGATTTCTTTTTCTCCTATCTTTTAAGATTATAATGACACTATTATTTTCTTTCTTCTTGTGATGCAGGAGTTAAATTTTACTGTAGAAATTGTGGCCGTGAAGGGCATAGACGACACTACTGCCCTGAAATCAGAGGTAGTTCTATAGATAAGAGGTTCAAATGTCGATTATGTGGAGAAAAGGGCCATAACAGAAGAACCTGTCCAATGTCTAGGTTGAGCAATCACAAAAGCTCTGGTAGAAGGCGTCACCGTTGCAAGATCTGTCGTGAAAGTGGTCACAATCGTCGTACATGTCCTCGAGTGATAGGGGTGAGAGACAATTTGACTTCTGGAAGTAGAATGTACACCTGCAGGTTATGCCGAGAAAAAGGGCACAATATAAGGACATGTCCTAGTAAAAAGAAGAGCCATCAAAATTCTAATATTCAATTAGAAGAAGGAAGCCAGCAACTTGGTCTTCAATAATCGTGCTGGACAGTAGACAAAACAACAGAAAGTTCTGGCATCTCCATTTCCTAGTCTTTCTTTGGCTGGATTTAAGGATAGCATCCTACTTTCCCTTTTGATTTATCTGCTTGTCGATTTTGCTTTATCCACTAATTTCCTAACATGCAGGGGTTACTATACGAACGGCCAAAACCTTGAACAGAGATGTAAACCTGTTGTCCATTATTTTCACTTATTCAGCTTTATTTGCACTATGATGACGTGTTTTGATGTAAGCCATCTCAGCTTAGATGAGTTCAAGGGATGGCACTTTGGACAGATATCCTGTACTCTTCCATAAAAGAGATCTGGCCACTTTCTTTCGAGGTAGGCTTTTTGCCAATGGATCCAATATATGAATGCCTGCAACATGCCGCCTTTTAGAGAAAATAAAACCATTTCCATTTTCTTTCAAGAGTATAAGGGGGATGCAATAGCTTGTATTGGGAAAGAAACTGATAGCTTATGTGAAGCCTAACACGCCATTATGTTTTGAAAAATAGGAAATTTCAGAAAGCGATATAGGACTGAAAAGGATACGGTGTTTACTATGCAGGTTGCAGATGTATCTTTTAAACTGTCTTCTTTTACCAGGTTTACCACTAGGTGGCCGTTTTAGATAAAATTATAGTAATATTCCCTGGTCATGTTCTTTAAAGAGAGTTGAAGTCTTCTCATCCATTGCTGTCATTATTATTTGCTGAATAAACGTACAAAATTCATCTGGGGTGGGGGGTTGGAATTATCTTTTTTTTTTTTTTTTGCTTCGTGATTGTACATGCAGTGTTTCATTTCTGTTTCCAATGATTGGAAACACTAATTTCGTAGACTCTCAACTTCTTAGGATGCTTGAATCTGTCATTCTAGAGAAAGTTATGTGGAGACTGTAAAATGACAGCATTTCTTCACCTAGAGAAAGTGAGGGAGAGATGCAGCAGCTTTCCTAGGAAGATATGAGAATTAAACATGGCACTACTGTGTTGCCAAATGCAAGGATTCATTATCAGTCGATTAATCACTTGGTGCATTGGGCCATTCTCCTTCCCACATAGATTACAAGTTTTCGATTCTTTCGTAGCTCAGAGATGATCCCATTTAGCTTTGCAGTCCATATACATGAGCACAATTTATGATACAAAACAAAACCAGGGATCGGTTGACACTTATATGTCAACGCCTGACGTAAACAGAGGAGAAACAAATAACTCAGTCTACTCAATTGGAAAACAGTTGCAGTTGTTAGTTAATGTAACTAAGGTAGGTTTAAGGCACCATTCCATGTAAACTGCCCAGTTTTGTTATACAATGGCAGTTTACTATCTTCTGATTCTAAACCAGGAAGAACGTCTGGGACATGATCAATTTCATTATAGAACGTATCTCCCACTCCATTGTTATCGACTGTCTCCTGTAGCTCTTTTGCGTCGTTCTCTTCAGTTTCATCGAAGTTAGCATTCAAGTTTTGCTCTACTAGTTTGTTAAACATTGAAGACCTAAGCAGGAGGCTCAGTGCAGTGGGGGAAGATGACTTGGGACAAGGACTAACAGTGGCCTTCTTTTGCAAAACATCTTGCCTCCTTGGGCTGTCTAAGGCTTCCACTGTGAAAGGATTGGAATTGACGAGGGGTACGCCAAGTGTCTGCTCGGTCGGAAAAAGGGTAGATGCTGTCATTGGCTGAGAAACCAAGGTAGTTTGATTGGCTGGAGGTTTTAGCCATCTGATATATGTGCTTAGGTCAAAGTTGGTTACTGCATTGATCCCTCTGTACTCAATTGCGGCAATGTCATACGCATGAGCAGCCTCCTCTTGTGTACCTATAGTAAGATAAAGAAACGTCTCTTAAGCTAGTTGGGTTTCGACTGTAAACTAGAATGACATGAACCAACACCTAGGAAAGAACAGTAAAAGTTTCAGTAAGTGAACAAGAGATTCAAAGTAAGAAAACTCACTGTAAGTGCCAAGATAAAGGTACTTGTTTCCAAACACCCTTCCTATTCTTGCCTCCCATCTCCCATTGTGATGATGCCTGCAGTGCATTTAGTAAAGGTCTTAAGTATAAACTGTTTCCTTAACATTGAGATAAGGCCAGACTCTGTCTCCTTACTGCTCACCTTGCAACACCTCTATACCTGGAAACACCCCTTGAGAAACCACTGCTTCTCCTATAAACAAAAGGTAAAAACAATTTCAATTAAATCACAAATTTTGAATAAGAAAACAATGACATCTTGGGAAAATTATTACCTTCTTAAAGACGCTAAGTATTCCTCTTTTGTTACAGCTTTCATTATCTCAATCTCCTTCTCATAATCGGATACCTGCAAAATATATCATATACGCACTTAATAAAATATTGAGTCCATGCCACCCAATCCACTCTCAGATCAGCACAAAGTTAATTATACCGAAAAATTTGTGAAAGTTGACGTTCCCCAGTACTTAATAGCAGCCAAATCATAGGCTCTTGCTGCAGATTCTTCTTCATCATAAGCTCCTAATGGAATAGCAATCCCAAAAAACAGTGAGTTTTCCACTAACTAGTTTTCTCAAAGCAAATATGGCTTTTCATCACTTTAAGTACTAACTCACCAAGATAAACTGCTCCATCCATCAATTTCGTCCAAGGTACAACCAGAGGACAAATCAAACAATTAAGATGGCATTAGCAAATCCAGCATAAGAAACAAATTAACGTGCAAAAACTTTCGCATATATATCTGACAAGAAATGAGTTTATCTAGGTTGCATACCTTGTTTTCCCTTCTTCCTTTGTGTTGGATTCCAGGAAGCTTTATCCCATAAGTGAGCTTCGAACCTTCCAGTCCATCTATGTCTGTTGCAGCAGGGAAAAAATCATCCTCGTTCTCTTGATATTGAAAGCATAATTAACATGTAACAGCAAAACCAAGAGATTGTATAAAACCTGCTGACACCCCGGAATCTTGAACTTCTCTTCACTGTGGTGGCAGTAGGTTGATCACCTTGTTGCTGCTGTTGTTCTCCTTGTTGATTGTTGCAGCATAGTGAACCAGTGGAGGGGTCTCTTCGACGTCTCTTAATGCACTTGGTCTCAATATTGTCACCTTCTGCCATGCACAAACGACGCCTTCTAGGGCCCATTTCAGATTTTGCAGTAATCATTTCCATGGATCTGATCTCGCTATCAAGGAGCTACAAGATAATTGACCTTTGGTGGCTGGACAATGAGAAACTGAAAAGCAGTGTTTAGATATATAGGTGCCGCAACTTGGTCGTTTACTATTCTGTTTCTTTGCTGTTGAGATTTCTTAATCGGTCTTAAGACAAACCTTGTCGATGCTCACGATATCAGCCAGGACAAATTGAAGTGTCTATACTCTACTATATCCAGCCAAGCAGGAACTAAAGTGTGCGGACTGCAACGAAGGATTAAGAGAATAATCCATCTTCGTAACTGGTCTCTAGTGTGTCAGAATTTGACCCGACCCTGTTCCTCGGTGTTTTCAAGGTTCTAGACGACTTTGACACGTTTACAGACTCCCATAGAGTTTTACCATGCTAGTGATGCTCAAAACTAGACAGTGGATATATTATTTTCCTGGAATCTGTTTAGTTTAACGAATGTGGGCAACGTCTGCTTTGACATCATAATGATATAGAACTAAGTAACACTTCTGATAGTCTCTCAGTCTTTCTCCCCCATTTTTTTCACCTCAGTAAACTCGAGTTCTATCTTTCAGAATGGATTCTATTCACTCTACCAGGAGCTTACATTCATGGAAACCTGGCCCAAGGTTAAACCAGCTAAGTAACAGTTATCCAAATATTTCAACTGTTGTTTGCACAATTCAGACAGACAAAGTGGAAGAATACAATGGGAGTTTTGCGGAGAGGGAGCGAAGCCGACAAGTTTCCAATGACAAAATCAAATTTGGCTTCTTTTGACATGAAAATTCAAGTTCTTGTCACTTGGGATGAGTTATGTCTAGAACGGAACTTGTCTTCTGCGCAATGGTGTGGGTGGGAATCATTGTTTATGTCTGGTTTAGGCTTAGGATTTTTCGTCAGGGAAAGAAAGAAATTCATTTCACCATCTGCGGCTTGTTTTTTGTTTACATTTTAAGATTCCAATTGAAAATTTGACTAGTTCTTGTAAGGGGCAAAAATGAAGTTTGAGTTCACCACGGAGCTCTTGAGGTATAGGGCGATCTTTACTATGAAAAATAAAGAAGATAACCTATAATATTATCTGTTAATTATAATATTTCATAATCATCTAAAATTATTTATTTTTTCAATACACTTCCAACTAAATAATGGGTTGGTTTTTTTCCCCTTTTTTTTTTAATTTGCTACGATAGTGTAGGCTTATTAATTAGCCTTTTATATATAAAATTTAACCCAATAATAAAGTTAATTTTATGTGTTATTCGGGTTATTAAAATTAGTAGGTAGCATTTTGAAAATATGTATATGATATCAATAATCAAGTAAATAGTTCAATGATTACACAAAAATTAAAAAGAAGTAATAAGAAAATTTTAATAACAGAAATTGTGAGTAAATTAACACAATATACATATACATACATATATATATTTAGAAGTTAGAACTAATGCTCATGATTTTGTTAACAATTTGTGTGTAGATAATTGTGGTTATTCATTCATTTAATTAAATTTATGCATACCACTCCTGTCAAAGACAGAAATTTATGCATACCACTTTACTACTTGTTTTTATACTTCCTCCATTTGATGTCAATTGTGCATGTTAGGGAAACTTAAGAAACAAAATTTGACTTTTTTCATCTTAATTAAATGTTTTTATATTATTAAATACTTAATTAATTTTTTTATATAGTGTTACTTTTTATTGATTTTGAATATGTCAAAAGAGAAAAAAAAATTCACGAAAATAGAAAAAAAAAAGATAAAAAGACTTGAGCTAATAATAAAAATATATATAATTTTTATTTTTATATATATAATATGTGTATAAGAGGGAGCATATATACTTAGTACTTGTACATCTTGTACGAGAAAGTCTTTTTTGTTGAGATAAAAAGCAAGTTGTATTGCTTCATGGGAAAAACAAAAAAACAAAAGAAACCAAACAAAATTAGTTTCCTGCTTCCTACATCAGCAACAGAAACTTAAGATCTTCAAATTTTCTTCCATTGTCCTTGCAACAATCCCCACATTCAAAATTTTCCCTTACCCTTGCCTTAATTTCCCCAACATTCAATCTGGATACAAGAAAGAAAAATGGAATATAAAGAAGTGTATTCCCATTCACCACTTTCATCCCTGTGCTTTCCTCTAGTGCAGTAATAAGAGTAGCTAGGCCATTTTTAAGTATTCATGTCCACATCTAGTAATGGAAACATATAAAGTTTTAGCAAGGCCGGCCACGAACGCAGTCAAGAGATCCAGAATATCTGGTGAGAAGGGACACCATTTGACCAGGCTTAGCCGACATCATGAAGTTTCCTGCAAATCTCCTGCTTGCTCTTGGATTACCGGATTGAGTGAAGAAGGCCCCATTAACCATCAGGTCACCCTCTGATCTCCATGACCAATTCTTCCATACTTCTGGTGGTGCATAGTCCCTCTTGGTCACCTTCACAAAGTATTCACCAACCATGAATAATTGCATATTAGTTTAGCAAGAAAAATGATGGATGATCAATGTACTTATCACTAGGAAAATTGGCAAATGGAAATGTGACTAGCTACCTCCTTAGCTGCCGCGTTTGGTGGAGCAACAAATCGGTTGCCCTGGCTGATAATGGTAGGGCGGCTGCTACCTCCAATGGCATACATGAGCCAGTGGGTGTAGTCATTGTTGACCACATGGATAAACCCCCATCGGCACCTTGGCATCCTTTGTACCAATCCTTTACCGAAGTGGGTGAAAGCAACTGTGATCTGCATCTTCTGATCCTCGGAGTAGCTGTCACTTGCCCCGAACAACATCACCTGCATCACCACATCAGGTGAAATTATTTGTCAACAGATCCTCGTTCAATAAATAGTTAGAAAAAAAAAGTTATTAATTTCCTGGAGTTTTAGCAGCAATTTTTGATTACCTCATTGTGGTTGGTGAAATGGCAGTTGGAGATGGTAATGGCAGTTGAACCCTGGATGGCATCAATGAGACCATCATAGCAATTATACATGGAAAGATGGTCAAGCCAAACGTTGGTTGCTCCGAAAAGAGAAACCCCATCACCATCACTCTTCGTCCTGAAGCCGTAGTGGTCTACGGAATCCCTGATCATGCCACCACTGCCCTGAACGATGTCGTGAATGTGGAGGCCATGGATAATGATGTTTCTGGCAAACTGGATGGTAATGCCAGCCCCATAAGCCACATGCACGTTGGCTCCCCTAGCATCGATGGTTTTGTCGCTAGTCATAATGAGCTCCTGGTTGAGCTTGATGATCATGGTTCGTGCAAAGATGATCCAGAGAGGCCGCTTTTGGATCACAGCATGACGTAGGGTTCCGGGCTTAGGGTTAACCATATCATTGTCCGAAGGATCTGTCACAATGTAGTATCTTCCGTTCTTTCCACCAATAGTACCACGGCCAAAGCCAAGGGCGCAATCAGCGAGCCTCTTCCTGTTTCTGTACCAGTTAGGATCACATCTCCAGCATTGGTCAATGGGGTTGGTTGCCTGGCAGGGACCGGTTCTTCTCTTTCCCCTCAAGCTCCTTCTTGTGCTATTAAACCCCATCAAGGTCCTTCATGCAAGAGAAAAATACGTAAACCAATGAGCATAATATTGAAAATGGCAATGAACAATTTCGCACTGATCACATACCTGGCAACATGGTGATTGAAATGCTGAGTGACTTCCTCAGGATTGGGGTTATATGCCTTGTTAAAATGTTCTTTAGCTTCGGCTTCGAGTTGCCTCCAGTAATCATCAAATTCAGCGATGTGAGCATGCAGGGTTGGGATTATGACAACGAAGAACAAAGAAAAGAAAAATAACCCAAAACTTCTATTGCTCGCAGCCATTGATTCGACCCTTTTTTTTTTGTTGTTGTTGATGGTTTTACTCTCCTCTTCAGGCTTTGAAAATTTCAGCTTTGTGGTTCAATCTGTTGGCAAAGGCCGAGGTCCTGCAAGTAATTTGCCGATTTGCAGACAGGACCGAAGGACAACCTAAGCCAACAGGTCGAACTTACAAAAAAAGAAAACAAGCGAAATCACTTCGCTTGCCCTGTTGAGAAGAGGAAAGTCATGTTGTAATCATTACATGGGACTGTTTAAATACAACAAGACAGACCCTAAAACAAGACGATGAGCATGCATGGCGGTGAGTTGGAGTTCTTTTCGGCAGCGGGAAGGAAGGGGAACCGCTAGCATTTCAATTCTTGGAAAACCGTTGAGAGTTTTCCTCGTTAATTAATTTTGTGGCGAGAATTTTGCTTGCATATTTCTCTACTTAATGACCAATCAATGGAATATATTTATGACTGTCATTGGAAGATATTAGTAGGAAAAATCATAACCTCTCTACTCCCTTCGTCCCTTCTATTTGATCAAAAGGGAACCATATCCAACAGAGAAGTATATATTGAAAAGAAGTTAATGTGTATGTAAATAAGGTAAACTTTCAAGATAAAAGGAAGTAAGAACAATTTCTTCCCCATTTTTTGACCAAATTAGCAGTCTATAATTCTTTCACTTTGCAGAAGATGGAGTAAGTTTATGAATTTTGCTTCTAATGTTTCATCATTTAGTCTACGATCTTGACAGCCTAAAGTGTTATAATCATGTTTTGGCATTAAGAATGTCAGCAGTTAGATTACTTGCTAGTTTTAAAGTACTTTATCTCGAATTTTTTTACTTGATAAAATATCCAAACTATAAAAATATCTTATTGAATTTTAAAATTAGTATATATTTTTTAAATTTAAATACTACTCGTTAAATATTTAGTTAAAATAAATTTACGGTTAATTTTCATATATTATTAATGAAAATTATATTAACAAATTAAATTTAATATTATATTTAAGGTTATTAATGACTTTTAGCAAGTATTACATTAATTATAAAATATTTATAAATAATATATATAATTAAAATTTAATATTAAAACTCTTTATTTATAATTAGATTCAGATAATAATTTTACTATCCAAACTATACTCGAATTCGATTATACTTCTATAATGCCCGATTAAAAAGTACACATTGTCGTCCCTATTTAGCATCTTCTTGAGTGCAATTTGTATTAATAACTTGTATCACTTGCATTTAGTTTGATTATATCCAAATGAGCCCTGAACTAGATACAGAAACCAGGGTATTCAAAGAGAGGAACACAGGGCAACTAGAATTTGGAATGAAATAAATAGTATTTTATTTCATAAGAAACCACTAATAATACAACAAGCATCCCAATTTGCAAGAAGTCATTTGCTAGCAAGAAAGGCACAGATTTGGCAAGAGGTAATTAAGAAACTGCCCTTCCAATATTATTCTCAAGACTCCTAAGGCATTATAATGTAAACTATAATGTATAAGGGTACACATCTCCTTTCCTAGGTCTAATACCATATTTCCTAGTTCAACATTAGCTAACTGACTCAAATGATCACCTGGTCTAGCCCCGCCACTTATTCGAGTACCCCCATGTGTTTCAGGTAAAAAATGGTACACACAAGAATGGCATGAACATCGGTCCGTTGTACAGAACAAGTAGACTATACCGGTTTGACATTCTTCAACTTGTTTTTAAGATAGAATGAGAGAGAGCTTCATGGTGGAGGCTTCTATATGGATATATACACTCGGCAACATAAATAATGCCTGTGGTTTACATTATGATAATTCCCAGACCTTGTAACCGTTCCCCTCAACAGCTGAGGACCATCTCTGGGATCCACTTAGAGGCTCATAAGAACCCGGTCCAATCTTCATTGCTACTTTGTCATCGATAATGGCTGCATATACATCCCTCTCGACCTTGACAATTTTAACCTACCATATAGAAATCAAAATATGAAATGAATATGCTAGTTTCATAATCTGCTGGTAAATATTGGACCTGATTGTTAATTTGTCCAACAAGTTTCCAAGGGACTGATGAATAGAAAGTAGCATAGTGGAGGAGATTGGGAATCAGAAATGAGATTCTTATTTTCTCCTACACTTGAGTTTTGAACAGTAAAAAGCTGTCACTACGAGCAAGCTAGGTGCACCGGGATCAGTCAAGCAAAATTCCAATCTTTCAGGTCCCATAGTGGAAATATAAAAATCATGTTTCTATAATCTCAAAATTTTCTGATCATAGAGTAGATGCCTACCAGCTTGCCGTAGCTCTCAAATATAAAAAGAACTGAAAATTTATCTGGAAAAGCTTTCCACATAAACCTTAGTCCCCAAATATGAAGCAGAGTTTTTTGATACTCACCATACTCCGACAATGGATTTTGTTTCTGTTTCTGAGAGAGATAAGAGCAGCAATTTCAGATCCATAATGAGAGAAAACATGATCATAGAACACAGCCGGGGTTCCTGGGTGAGTCAATATATAAGCATATCCTTGCATTTCCTTTCCAGCTGGAAACCTCCAATGACCCTTCAGGGCAGTGCAAAAATGGATTCAAAAATAATCGCAATAATAAACCATAGAAACAGCATTATAACAAGGTCTAAGCAGGAATTCTTTTCTCTACTTTAAGTTTTGGCTACACTAGGAAAACTAGTTATAATTTGAGGAAGGGGAATAATGAAAAAACATTGTCTCCCAAAGAAAAACTACAGTGGATATACATGACATCATCTATTAAGATGAATACTTCTTCAGCCTGACTTAATATTAATAGCTAACTTACTGTAGTTTAAAGAAATAACAATCAATTGCCAAAAGCATTGAAACAACTGCAGAATTGTTCAACATTTGCAAAACATATTTACAAAGAAGAATCATCTACTCTATAGCCTTTACTTTTTATAAATAAAGAAATTCATATGACTGTCTTCTGAAATGTCATGTTTACGTGTATGAACACTGCTCTCTTGAACAAATCATTTAGAAACTTTGTAAAGTGTATCTGAAACCTAAAAAAGGAAAATTAACTTTCATAGATGAGTAAAAGGAAGAGGAAGAGAAGAGAGAACACCCCAACAATATTAAATGAAGCCTTAGTTTCAGTAAAAGTATTAATCTAATGCAATACTTGATTTGGTGTGCATTACAGTTTCTTTGGATAACTTCAGTTTATAAAAAAAAAATGGCACCGATTGAAGGATTCAAGAGATATTCAAACCTGGGTAGAACCAGTGTCATGATTCTCTATGAAGGTAACAGCACGAGATGGCCACCATCCAACAACCCCAGGAGGCTTCCCTTTCTGGTCCGATAATCGCCAATATTCACATCTTTCAAGTGCCTAAGTGAAATAATTATACTGTAAATATATCCTGTGTTATGACTATAGAAAAGAAAATAATAAAAATAATGTCAAAAATAGACGAGCAAGAGCAGTTTGAGAGCAAAATCATTTCTCAATTAAGTTTGTCAAATGTCTAAATGTCTAAATTATGCCACAACCCAAGGTACCAGAACATCATGCATGCCACAAAGGCTAGGAGATATATACTAGGAAACACCAATAATGGATCTCAATCTATGGGTAGAGGGATAGGGGCAAAGAACACAAACAAGGTTGCACTTTTCTTTATAAAAATACTGTAAAACTGTGCACATGGAAACACTCAACATGATAAATTTAGATGAATGCTTACTGAATGAAGAATTCCCTTGGTTGTGACATCAAAAGCACCAGCAGTTCCATTAGTAGCATTAATCCAGTCGACAATTCTCTGTCTATGGGCATCTTGGTTGTGGTCCATTTCACCATATGTGTAACAGAGGGAATCCCAATACTCACCCACAGCAAAGTAAGGTTCGCTTGCATCCAGGTAGTCCTTTACATAACCACCCCAGAATCCTCTGGCAAAATCCAGCCTCCATCCATCATAACCAATTTCTTCTCTACATGTCACAAAAGGCCAGCAAAATATTACACACACAACATATTGCATTTGAAGTATGCATCAAGAGAAACTCACAAGAAGTGAATCTCTCACATTATGTAGAAGCACGCAAAAAAAAAATTCATGACAGGACACGATGTGGTAAGAAATATGTATGAAAGAATTAATTCCTGACTATTAAAGCTATATTTAGCTCAGTTTCCTTACAGTAAAAGTTACCACCAATCCAATGGTCAGGAAATTCAACATACAAAGAAAAAAAAAATTCTAAAGTTTGAGTATAAGTCTCCACAAGAAAAGCCAAGTACATCGTGATTGAAATATAGCTGAAGCCACAAAGGAGGATGGGTCACACGACAGATTTTACATATCCAGTGCTTCCATCAGCTTTTACACCAATAGAGGCACTATAACCAAAAGTTAACATAACCTTAGCTTAAGCAATTGAACCAGTAAAATATATGAATGTGGCACCTTTAAAGTCCAGTAAAACAATCGAATGGCAAGGCCAAGACAAGAACCCATAAACCCAATCAGAGATTGTTAAAATTTCTGAAAACCTTTTGGAAAACTAGGCAATATAAACAGCATAGAGGTACATAATTCATAAATTTCAGAGCTTTCAGCTTGAATTTGTGACCATGAATCACTATTGCTGTGGCTAGTTTGGCTACAAAATGTAAATTTTCCACCAATACATCCTTTTTCTGAATGGCCATACACATTAACTGGTACAAGAACATGAGAGAATTATTAATGAATACTAACTACAGTGACTTAGATCCAGTTCAGTTATGTATCATCCTATTCCAGCATCTAAAATAATATCACAATCAGGTATGATATTTATAGGTTGAATTCATAGTCAAGGTGCACGATAAATCCAATTAATGATAAATAGTCATTAGTTTTCATTGAACCTTTCCACTCTCCAAAGTTTTCACAGACACTTTTGCCATAGTTTCCAAACCAAGTTAGAAATTCAGTGGGTATGTATCCATCCCTGTGTCCAGGCAAGAACTTCTTACAGGGATAGAGAGGAAGTCACAGGCATGACCACATACAAACAGGAGCTTTTGTAATCCTTTCATGCAGACAAAAATCATTGGATGGAGGAAGGAAATAAAATTCAAGTTTCAACCTCAGCCAGCATAACCAATCTTTGAGATCCTTCCTCACAAACTCTTGTGAATGATCAATGTTGGGAGCAGCATGGAAGTT